ACAATGCTTCTTCGCTTCAATGAATATTCCTTTGCGGTTAATGAACAGCGGAAGGTGAGTAGTATTACTCTTACATCGGGCCTCTTGTGGTAAAGAGAGACTGGTGTTTGTAATGGCGTGCACTCGATCGATAAAACAGTTGATATTTTGGTTTGTTTAGCGGTCAATATATTGATACCTCAATCAAATGAAGGAAACAAGCGGGAAACCAAAATCTGCAATGATTTTAGGCTTCGTTGAGTCCATCGATTTCATGATGATGTCCGGAAAATTAACTAGAGGCAACCTTCGTTCGATTTTTAATTTATAAGCATTAAAATCAGCTCAAGTCTTAAGAATTTGGTGTTTTTAATAGTTTTTAGTGATCTTCAAGGGACTCGTACGCCTTTTTTATATGCGTTGGTCCATGGACCGGGGGTCCGCGTTTTATCCTCACCCGACGAGCTCTCTCTAAGCTAGGGAAAAAATTATTGACTATTATCTTAAAAGTGAAAAACCGGCGAAAATTGGTTATGAACATGATATATGGCTAAAAACGGTTTCTAGCATTATCGATAACTTCGTGAAGATCTGGAAAGTAGAACCAAGTCATGGTTACAAACCCGAGCATGTGTGGCAAGGAAATGTAGAAGCTCCTGTTTGAAAATCAAATTTGTTTGCTGCATAAAATAAGCCAACCAAGTTCCGAAGATCAGCGGAAAGTTTAGAATTCATAACGAACTTTGTTTGGAAGTTCCAAAGTTGGTCGCCAACTTGGCAATTTCCGAATTGAGTTCGGAACCCGATCGTGTAACGTAATAGGAAACCGAGTGTAAAGTGGACTATGATATACATAGAATGCTTGTTTTGTGGCAAATAAGTCTGTTCGTCAAGAGCTTCGTAATCACTCATTTTTGGAAGCATTTTCTTTATCTTCTTCCATCATTTCCGGCTCTGAACTTTAAAAACTTCAAAATAACTTTGCTTTTCTTAACTTAGACTTACCTATGTTACCGGATGGGTAATCTGCATGTAGTTATATATTTAAGTGAGAAAATCGAGGAAAACTCGAGACTACAACAACTCTTGACAATCTTCCACGACACTACAGGGAAACTGTGGGCATCCAGAGATAGGAGTCTCGTCTGAATAGATGCGGCACATCTTGATCACGTGATAACACACATGCTGTGATTAACTCGTGGATACCCGAAGAGAGTAAAATAACATGCTAATATTGAGTACGCGCGTGGTTGACGACGATTTGACGAACTGGGAGAATTGAAATGCTTCTGACTTCAAAGCTTGTGGTCATTGTATATCTTAACCCGGGTGGATTTTTATGTTTTTAAGGCGGAGATTGTTACGTTTTTCTTTGTCGATGCTGGGTGCCCGTTGAAGAAGTCCCTGAAGACAATAAAGACGACGAAACCGATGATGAACCGGTCGAACAGGAAGAAGACTTCCAGTGTGTTGTGTATTTCTGGCAGGTGAGACTCAGCAAGGGTTTGGACTTGCAAAACTACCCAGCTGATCTGAAAGAAAAAGAAATCGAGAAAATTTGTATAACTGAGGTTTCACTTTTCTTCTTGAAATCAAGGATCATTCCAGGCCACCAAATGAAAAAAATAACGTTGCTAATATACGTGCTTGATAACAGTGACACAGTGATCATGAGATTTATCTTTTTATTCCAATGGCGGGCATGTTTTTATTCATCCCCATTTTTTGTACTAGATAATTCTTCCGGCCCGATTTACGTAGAAAAATCAGCGAAGAACAATGAAATATACAAGTCTTATCATACAGACTTGAATGTATGTTGCCTGCGTACAGACCGGATTTAACTGTACGACTTTTTATAGGATATCCGCCTATTTCACAGTGTAAGTAAATACAGCATAAACGCTACGCTATGAGGAGTATAGGGAACCCAATTTCTCAAGTAGGGTGCAAGTGGGTCGATTCAAAGTAGACTTTCGCAAAGTCCACCACCCGCTTTGTTTTTTCCGCTCGAATGTAAAAAACACCGGGAAACAAGAGAGGTCGACTTGGGGCAAGTCTGGATTCAAAGGGGAGTATCTACGAGTTTGTCAGTGTGGAAGTTTCAGTTAAAGAGTTTTGACGTATGCGTTTAAATCCCCACGAAAACTGCTAAAATAAAGCGATTTAACCTCCACCCTTAAAAGATTAAAAATTTGGAAACAGATCCTTTCATGAAGAAAAGTAATGAAGATCTTCATTTAAACTTCTTGTCGTTTTTGACTCAGAAGTCGTTAAACCGTTACATTCAAAATACTCCCGAAGGTAATTTAATAATTCAAAGCTGCAAGCTTCCTTGTCTGCATAAAAATGTTTTGTTACCTAGTCACCTGTATATAAAATAATTATTATTGTTATTATTATATTTATTCAACTCAACTACACTACGAAGTCATGGGATTCCTGTGTCTTAGTTACCAGTCCTACACCGTCTACAAAGTTCGTAGTAGTCTGGGTCAAGTAAGATTGAACCAAGTCAAAACGAAAAAACTTTACAGGAAAAAAATACGATTTTTCTTTCCAAAAAATGCAATATTAACCTGAATTTGTACTCTGCTACAATGCCATTACCGTCCAGAGGTTCAAGACATAATGAGGTAACTAAATTGTTAAGGATTTTTGCCATTTTTTTGTTAAAATTTACTCCACTTCGCGAGATTGTGAATCAACTTTCTTTCAAAATGTCTGCAGATGATTTTTGTTTTGTTTTGTTTTTACCAGGTTATAGAACCAATGCAGGTTGATATTGCTCCTGAAGTCGATCAACAAGCTGCAGAAGATAATTTTATAATTGAAGCGGCTACAATTGTAAGTATTACAACAAAGAATAAATCACAACACTACTGTACATATATAAACTTACCATTTTTATTTCAAGTATTGTAAGCTTAATAGGGTTTTATTTCAATCATATCCATGTTTCAAGAGATTTTTTTTGATGGTGTAGTTCTTCTCTTCGAGAGAAGGCAATCAACTACATAATCCTCAGACCCTCCCCACCCCTTGGAAATTCTAATCCCCCTCCATGGGTGAGGCATGGATATATTCTGGTACTACACAATATACCTTCCTCAGACCCTCCCCACCCCTTGGAAATTCCAATCCCTCTCCATGGGTGAGGTATGGATATTTTCTGGTACTACAAAATATACCCTCTTCAGACCCTCCCCACCCCTTGGAAATTCCAATCCCCCTCCATGGGTGAGGTATGGATATTTTCTGGTACTACACAATATACCCTCCTCAGACCCTCCCCATCCCTTTGATATTCGAATTCAATGACAGAGATATTCTTTTCTATTTTTTTAGGATCTTGATGTATTTGCATCCAACTACATGGGTCTTACAAAGCTAAGCCGACTTATGTTTGTGGCTAAGCATTGCCCGGCACTTGAAATAGATGCTCTTAGGTATATTAATTACAAATGGTATTAATCTACAGTGACCAGTTTGTACCAAGGGTGGATAGCTCTGTCCAGTGGATAAATCTTATCCAGTGGATAAATAATTTCTTTGATAACAGCATTGACTTATCCACTGGAAAAGGATTTATCCGTTAGATACACGTAGCACTATATCTACTTTTCGTGCAACTGGGCCCAGGACAAGGTCATGCAAATACCACAATGGGATTTAAAAGCATTGATTCTTGCAGAGGAAAAAACAAGAGAAGCAGTAAAAACAAAACCCTTTAGAGACACAGGAGAGAACTAACAACTACTCGTACATTATGAAGTAAAATAGAAGCAGAAATCATATAATCCTTTGTCCTTTTGTCTGATTGCAGGATGGCTCTAATTCTAAACTATGTTAAACACACTTTCGTGCCCCGTCCACACTATGCCGGATAAATTCTAATCCGCAACTTTCACACCGAAACTGGAAAAAAAGTTTTCCGTCCACACATGAAAACGGATAAAAAGTTTCGCGTCCACACTAGTCCGATCAGAGGCGGCAAAAACGCTTCATTGCACATCTGAGCATGCGCATCGAAGCTGAAATCGAGCCCGCAGTGAATTTTTGTGGTTAGTCCGTCGATAGACGGCTAACCACTATGCTATCGCGTAGCGTGAACCACTTCCCCTCCCCTGGTAGGGCGAATCATTTTTCGCAATTTATGCAGTAAGTTTTTAATTTACTGAATTTATCAGTTCATTTAACTGTTAGAGCTTTCATTATACATCTCTAAACAGTGGAATAACAGTTTTCATGGCCAATCTTAACAGCGAAATTGCAAAAAAAAAAAAAAGACGGATGACCAATTTGTGTCGCGCTTTTGTGGGCCACTAGACCTTCCCCCTGGGGTTAATTGTTGCAATCGTGCCACAAATCATGCTTCCTTCCGATAAAATGGTGTATGCCATTTTCACTCGTGGATTACATCATCATATAAACCATAATAATTTCTTTTCCTCGTGGCTCGAGTTGCTACAACAAATTTTCTGACGTCTTAATCAAGTCAGGGCCAAAGTAAGAGCGCACGACAATCTCGACAAGATAGTCTCATACAAAACAAACTCATTACTAATATACTGAAAACTATTAAAATATATATATATATTGAAAACGATATTGAAAACTATATTGAGCGTCCTAATTGGAGGATAAGTGAGGCCGTACTTTACAGGATATATTCAGCCCTTCAGGGAATTTAAGATAAACCAACCAACAACAACAACAAAAAAAACACGCATTGTCGGTTGTGAATTAAATCAGACCTTGAATCTCTTCCGATGAATTTTAAGATAATTCAGTCTTTTGCTCATGGGATTTTCAAATTCATTCTTAGAACAATCGACAAACCATATCTTTGAGCAATAATCTAATATGAGTTTATTGTGATCGATAACGATCAACAAGGCAACATTGTCTTAAAACTATTTCTATTTCTTTGCAATCATTTGATAAATAGGTTCTTGCTATATATACAGCAGATTTGAAACTGAACAACAAAGATCAATGAAAACAGTCGTTCAACAAGCAGCAGTGTTTATTCAAATGTAAAAGTTTTTAATAAAACACGTGGTTCGAATTTTTTTATATGGCATTAAAAACCTCCAGCCTAATAAAACCAAAAATTTTAAATAAAATAATCGAAAATGTACAAAAATTGAAAGTTATGAAAACTGCCTTAGGCCCTTCTGATCATCATGCGCATAATTTCCCATGTATGTACACTGAGGATTTACGTTCCACTTTTGACAAATTTTTAAAGTTCATGGGAAATACCCTTTCTTGATTTTATATACGAGTTCATTTCCTTGGTCCGTTCTGATCACATGGTTGTAATCATGAATTGTTAATGCCTTTTGAAGACTTTAGTATTAACTCCCCTGTCCTCACACCGTTCATTTTACTTCTTTGGACTAACCACATGCGCTTCTTGAGCGCCTTTAATTTTGACTTGTGCCCAAAATTCCAAAATAATAAGCTCTCACTTGTATTTCTATAGTTTCACAAACTTTTGTGACAATCATTTGGCAAAAGACCTCTTTACCTTGGGCGTAATCTTTTCCCATTTCGACCACGTCATTCCCTAGAGTAACATTTCTTTGTTTAACGGTTGCGCATGAGAAGATACATGAATATGGATACAATTCAAACAAAGAATCTTATTCTCAAGAGAATGACACGTGGTCTGAAATGGGTAAACATTACGCCCAAGATAAAGATGTCTTTAAAGCAGTTCACCGTTTCCCCATTCAGACCGTGTGTTGCTCTTAAGTAACATTTCTTTGTTTAACGGTTGCGCACGTGAATATGGATACGAGTCTATTCTCAAGAGAATGACACGTGGTCTGAAATGGGGGAACATTGCGCCCAAGATAAAGAGGTCTATTATTTTACTTTACACCGACAGAGAACAGCAAGACCGAGTATGATAAATCCAACGAGAAAGAACTGTTGCAGGAAATGCTTGTCGTGGTCGAAAAGAGAGAGCACTTGATCTCAGAAATGGAAGCAGCTCAACACAAGTAAGTGAAAAGTAA